AATCCCAAAAAAAAATGTCATTGAAGAGGTGAAAACATTCGGCATATTAGCCTTATTGGCAGGCTTTATAAAATCATAGCTAAGGTCTTAACAAACAGACTTCACCAGGTAATTCATCTTATGGTTAAAGGGCCACAATCAGCCTTTTTGAAGGATAGACAAATTATGGGCAGTGTTTTGATAGCTCAGAAATGCATTCACTCCAAAATAAAAGAAGGAAAACCGGAGCTTATTTGTAAGCTAGACTTTGAGAAGGCTTATGATAAGGTTGATTGGAGGATACTTCAAACCATAATGAGTAATGTGGGATTTCATTCAAGGTGGCGGCTATAGATTGATGGTTGCCTCTCATCCACCCATTTCCAGTCCTTGTGAATGGTGAGGCAACTGGTTTCTTCAAGGGTTCAAGAGGATTGAGACAAGGGAATCCCCGTTCACCTTTCTTATATACCTTGCTGGTTGAAAGCTTCAGTGTATTGTTGAACAAAATGGTATCAAGTGGAATCATCTCAGGTGTAAAAATAATCATGGTTTAATAATATCAAACTTACAATATGCTGATGATACCGTCATTTTTTTTGAGCCTAATGATAGGGAGATCACTTGTCGATGGATTTTTTTGAAGTGCGTGGAATTTGCTACCGGGCTCAAAGTAAATCTTAATAAGACCATGCTTATTGGTATTGGTTGTCTCCAAGCTATGGTGTCGAGGATGACACAATTGTTAGGTTGTGGTGTAGAGACTCCGCCTTGCACATATTTGGGTATTCCACTGATAGATTCTAGGGCCTTTAGATCTACATGGGATCCTGTTATTGCGAGATTCTATAAAAAATTAGATATGTGCAAAGAAAAAATACTGTCTTTAGGAGGAAGATACACATTGATTAAGTATACCATGTCTAATCTACCAGTTTACTTCGTGTCCTTATTTAAGATGCCGAAGCAAATTGAAAAGTTACTTGAAAAGTTAATGAGGAATTTTTAGTGGGGAGATAAAGAAAGCAAAAAGAAACTTCACTTGGTGAGTTGGGCAGAAGTGTGTGCACCTTTAAGAGATGGAGGCTTGGGTATTAGGAGGTTGGAACATATGAACTCTGTGCTTCTTGTGAAATAGTGGTGAAGGATTCACACCCAACAAGACTCTTTTTATGTACAAGTTCTGAGAGATACGTATGGCATGGATCTGAATTACGGACTCATTAAAAACCCAAGAAACAATACAATGTTATCCCATATTTGGAGGGGGATTGATTATGAGAGACCTATTTACTTGCAACAGTTCCAAAAAGTGGTGGGCAACGGAGAGTCCACACTTTTTTGGTTTGACAAATGGCTTTGAGATTATCCATTGAGATACCTTTTCCCGGAAGTCTCAAATCCACTAGCATCTGCTAAGGAGGTTAGTGTGAGTAATTTTACTAACATTGTTTGGTCTATTCATTGCAGGTACGGGAGAGTAACAAACAATTTTATTGGGAAATATCATACATTGCTGAATTTATTGAACAATATTTACATAACTCCAAATAAGGATGACTCCTTCATATGGGATCTTACTTCATCAAGTGATTTTTCTGTTAAGTCCACTTATGACTTCTTATCTTATGATCGTAGTAGGGAGTTGGATCTGGTTCTTCATAACATCAAGAAGCTACATGTACCTCTTAAAGTCCAACTGTTCTTATGGATCTTGTGTCAAGAAGCTACAATGTTTCTCTACCCACAGACTTACTATATTCGCGGCAGTTTATTGAACGGACCTCCAATGAACGGTGCCGTCCGTTGAGATTCTGCATGAAATTTTTGACCGCCACAGACCTTGTATGTCTGTGACGGTGCCATGGACATGCTAGATTCGTGGCGGCAAAAAAAATGCACGCCGCTTAATTTTTTTGGATGGTGATGAGCCTATGGGTGAAAATGCTGTTCATTTTCGCCCATAGGCGTTGCGTG